TATTAAAAAAACAACATTGCAACTTATTCGAATACCCCCAAAGTGGGAAATTATATTCTTTATATATTTAGCACAACTAAAGAAAAGAGGGGTGACATTATATGTTAAAGAAATGGTAAAAGCCAAACAAGTGTATTCAGATGAAGAAGGGAGAATATTGATGGTTGAGGTTGTAATAAATCAGAAACAGATTCTTTTGATCGCAATATATGCACCAAATAACAAGAATTCTACAAAAAGCACCATAAGAATATAATTGAAATAGACTATGAATACATTTGTATGATAGTGGACTTCAGTGCAATTGAGGATGTCAAACTAGACTATAGGTGCAGCAAAAAAAGTAAAAAAAAATGACACTTCCAAAACCTTTTTTTGAAATGACACAAGAAATAGGCGTACAGGATTTATGGAGAGAGTTAAATCCAAAGAAAAACCAATATACATTTTATTCGAACAGACACCAATCTTGGTCTAGCATAGATATGATATCGCCAGAATATCGATGTCGCCAGAAATGAGAACAGATGTCCAAGAGGTTGATACAGAAATGAAAATATGGGCAGATCATAAGCCAATAAAAATAAATACAAATAATGGAAAAAGAACTTCATTTTTAAAGAAAACACAAAAGAAGAAACATCACTACAAAATGTTTGGGACACAGTTAAAGAATACATGCAAGGATTAGCCATAATATATGTAAGAAGAAGAAACAAGAAAAAGAAACAACAGCAAAAAAAAATACAAGAACTAAAAAAATTGAAGATAGAATCGCAGAAAAGACTATAAAAACTTGCAAAAAAGTTGTGTAAAAGGAAATGGAATTAATAAAACATAAACGTAATAGAAAAAGAAGAAATGGCACAAAAAATTAAAATGGTAAGACAAAGCTTTGTTGAAAATGCACATAAGCCAGGTAGATGGCTAGCATACAAGCTGGAAAAAAAGAGAAAGAGAAGAAAATGATACATAAACTGATAGATGAGAAGCAGATCCTTCACCATCAAAATGAAGATAAAAAGAAAATAATCCAGGAATTCTGTGGGAAACTTTAGGGAAACTTTACAGTCAAGAAAAAGTGTCAGAAGGTATAATAAAACAATATTTAGAAAAGACCACGTTACCCAAAATACCAGAAACAGTGAAAGCGATGTTAAACGAAAGAATAACAATGATGGAAGTAACAGAAGCAATTTAAAGGCAAAAAAACCAATAAAATACCTGGATTAGATGGGCTTTCGGCAGAACTTTATAAACATCTACAAGATGTCTTAGGTTTGTCAATGTTGGAGATCTATAATGATATGTTGTTAAGGCCAATCTTCCTAAAACATCGGCAGATATTAGCTTAATGCCAAAAGAAGACTCATTTACAGCAGATAAAAAACTAGACCAATATCATTATTAATTGTAGAATACAAAATATATACCTCAATAGTAGCAGAGAGACTAAAGTTCTTGAACAAATTTGTACGCCCAGACCAGAATGGTTTCTTATCCAAAAGTCAAATTAAAAATAATATGAGAATCATCTTGAATACATTGGAATACTATGAAGTACACTCTGAAAAACAGATAGCTCTGCCCCCTTATTATTTATACTAACTTTGGAAGTCTTGATTAGAAAGATCAGACAAGACCCAGAAATAAAAGGCATGGAAATAAAAAAAGAAAATTACAAATTACAGGCATTTGTGGATGTTGTAGTATTTATCCTAGAAGAACCACTGAAATGGGATCTAAATTAATAAAAAAAAGATTTATTGAAGTAGCAGGATTAAAAATAAACAAAGAAAAGACTAAGATGCTGGTAAAGAATCTTACAAATAAACAAAAAAAATGAATTGGTAGAAAAAATGGGCATTCCGATAACTAAAAAAGTAAAATATTAGGAATTTGGTTAGTGGCGAGAAGTGCAATTATTAAAGAAGATAATTATTTTAAATTAATACAACAAATCTGGAAAAATGGAAAAACGGAAAAACCTACAGCTGTCGATGGTTGGAAGAATAGTTACAATAAAAATGAAAATTTTGCTGAAGTTGTTATTTCTGTTTCAAACAATTCAAATAAAACTAGGAAAAAAAGTTTTTTGAGGATTTAAATAAATTGATTTTAAGTTTATTTGACAATGGAAAAAAGCAAGAATAAAATTGGATTTGGATTACCTGATTGGGAGTTGTAAGTGCTTACATGGGTGAAAGAATGGGTTAATTTGAGGAACAAAAAATTTTGACTTTAAAAAGACATGATTTGCAATTGGTATGGGAAAAATAAAATACACAGATATTTTCAAAGACATATTAGAAATGCTCTACTTTTAGTATGGGGAAAAATCATACATTACATGAAAATATCTGTGTGGCTATCCACAATAGAATGTTCTTGAACTGGAAAAAATTACAAGATATAAAAATATCCTAAATGAACAAGGGAAATTAAAATCGAAATAAGGACTGAAAAATCAAGGAATTGATTTGGCTTGATGGCCACTTATGCAAATACAATCAAGGTACAAGTAAGATGCAGAAATAAATGGATTTTACAAAAACCTTCAGAATTACATCTGATATTTTTAGGGACGGATGATAAATTTAAAAAATAGCTGCTTATTGAGTTTTAAAATGGAAGAACAACAAGTAAAAGATACTATGATAATATGGGCCAAAATTTTTGGATATAATATAGAACTTAGATAAATGGCAAAAACTCTGGGAAAGAAACTATAAATTGATGATGTCAACAGCCTATAAAAAAATATCTACAAAATGTCTTATAGGTGGCATTGCCACCAGTAAGAATGGCAAAGATGTTCCAAAACGTATCTCCCAGATGTTGGAAATGTAAACAGTTACCGTGTTCTTACAGTCATATGTGGTGGACTTATCCTATTGCAAAAAAATACGGTTAGAAATAAATATGTGGCTAGAAGAAATGACAAAACAACAAATAGACCTAAAACCAGAGATGTTCTTGTTGGGTATCCTACCGGAGAAATATAATAAAAGAAATACATATTCAATTTTACAAGTGGTAACAGCAGCGAGAATTGTATATGCACAAAACTCAAACAGAACATACCTATAAAGGAAAATGTAATAAAGAAAATACTAGAATGTGCTGAAATGGATAGATTAACATTGAAAATTAAGGATGAGGAAACAATCCTTTTTAACTTGGGAATTATTTTATCAATGGTTAGAAAATAGCGAACAGAAGTTAGAAATTTAGAATAATGATATGTAAATAAAATGAAATAAATGTGTAATTAATGAATATTGAATAACGATAAGTAAACATTGATTAATAGACTTGACGATAATGGCTACAAATGTGATGGTTATCTGATGTTTATAATGCTTGATGTTAACTATAGACAAAAAAGAACAGTGTTTAATTAAATAACAGAAAATGTTTAATAAGGAAAAGTGAAGAATATGGTGAATAGACTTTGAGAATAATGGATATAGCTATTGTGTGCATAAGATTTACTATTTGTATTTTAAAAAAGATTATACCCTGTTAGTACACTGCCATTGTGGATATGGAAATTTTGTATATAACAAAGAAAATTGTATAATAAAAATAATATTATATAAAAAAAAAACAATTATGCTTGTACAGCTGGTCTTTGATTTACAATTGCAATGGAGCCCGCCCATTGGGGTTGCAAAGCAGGTTCTCGTCTGACTGATCCAATTTTATGACCTTTTTTTGAGGTAGTCATTAAACAAAGACTCTGATCGTTAAACGAACTCATAGTTCGCTGTGGGGTGTTTTTGCTGAAAACCTGAATACCAGTTTTTAGCTAAAACATCAAAAATTGTAGTCGTGTGACTAAAGAGATGCTGCAAGCAACCATAAATGCAGCCTGGTTGCCAAGTGCCCCGTTATAAGTGGAGGACTGCATTTATTTGGAAACAATATCAGTGCTTCTTACTTATTTCAATAACTCTTACGTTAACTATACAGACCAGCTGTCCTAAAGGTGCTGTTTTCAAGAGGCAACTTGACTTTCTGGTTTTTCCTTCTCATCCAAGAAGCTTCTTCAGCTCTTATTGGAGAATTCCCCACCATCCAGAGTTGAAGAAGCTTCTTGAAGGAGAAGCGCGACGACTTCAAAGAAAAAACAAAGTCCCATCCCCTCTTGAAAAAGCACCTTTGGGACAACCTTGACCTGGATGACGGAGAATCTCCATAGATATATAGGCCAGCATTATTCCTTCATTGTAGATAGGGCATTAGAGATGTAGACATGAAAATGATCTAACATTTCCCAGGGAAAAGGATGTGCTAAATGTCCTCATCTTCTTTGTGGACCAATCAGGACTTCTTTGCAAGTTGTACCTGGGTTTGGGTGTGGAATGCTTTTGTTTAGCAGCATGTATTTTGCAACTGAAGAGTCACTTCTCTACTTCTAGCATTTTTAACATGTGACTTAAAATACCGGCTCTCATCTGTAGGAACCAAAATTTGTGTCCCGTTTCTCCAAAATTGTACTACTAAATTCATGGCTGTAAGATGAAATTATGTGTTGCCTTCTGTTTGACTTCTGTTTTATCAAAGTATAAAATATAAAGGAAAATCGAAATAGGAAATTAAGGAAGAAAAAACGGGGGGGGGGGAGGGATATGGCATACCAGACCCAAAAAAAAAGGAAAAAAACAACCCATTGTCTTCCAACTATTTTCAGCACAGTAGAAGATGGCAACATTACAGCCTCAACTTTTGACTTTTACACCTTAGTATATACTAGCCATTTCTATAACATCTAATCGGCAAAACCAAAGTCATTGAACATTTCACTTCTGGATTTTGTGCTTGTGATAGAAAAAAAAAAGTTAAAAGAGTTAGAAACTGAGAAGAGGAGTCATCGTAAGGAGTTGTCAAATGAAGACTAGATGGCCTAAATTTGGGCTTTTCACTTCTTTAACCCCCTTCTCTTCTTTAGCTGAGAAATAACAGCTGCAGAATTTTTTTCCCCCGAAATCTTTCAGTTCTCGCAGCCAGTCAGCCGCTGTGACACCATCCTCCAGCACTTCCTCCACACGGGTAACGCCCGCTCCTGCTGCTCCTGCAGCCACCACGGCTACAGCCACAGCCACAGCCACAAGTCCTAGCCCTGCTCCGAGCTCGGGAAACGGGACCAGCACAGCAACAAGCCCTACCCAACCCATCCAGCTGAGTGATCTTCAGACCATCTTAGCAACTATGAATGTACCAGCCGGAACAGGAGGGCCGCAAGGTAAAAAGAGGGTTGCACGTTTGGTATGTCTCTCAAAACGCGCATCTTTCCTCGAACTTCCATCCTAACATCACAGTTTTTATTACTCAAGCCTGGAGTTAGACAAAACCTCTGGACTTCAGATACAACAGTATGAACCAGTGTTAGGCAGCTGTTGGTTGGTAATGTTCTGACCCAGCTTTCCCAGAAGCAAGAAACAGACTCCCCACAAAGAAAACCCTCTTTATTTACACATTGGGAATTAACTGTGTTCACCAACAGAAAGTGCAGGCAATAGTCTTGCAAGGAGTTACCATATTTTTCGGAGTATAAGACGCACCTAGCTTTTGGGGAGGAAAACAAGGAGGAAAAAATCTGCTGCTGCCTCCCAGCAATTTGCCTCCTTGCAGCAAACAGCCAACAGCCCTTTTCAGCACAGCCTGATTAGCACAAGCAGCTGTCTGTTGGATCAGCTTCTGACGATCAGCTGTTTCAGGCTGCAGGGATTGCCATAGCCTATTACCCCTCCGCGCCCCCATTTTCAACCTCCATATCCCATTTTTGGTCTCCGTGTGTCCCATTTTCTGCCCGTTCTGGGCGGCAGGGATCAGAATGGGCATAAACTGGGCACGCGGAGGCCGAAAATGGGGCACGTAGGGCAGCCTGAAACAGCTGATGGTGGGGAGGCTGATCCAACTGACAATCAGCTGCTTGTGCTAATCAGGCTGTGATGAAGCAGAAACTGAAACAGGCTGTTTGCTGCAAGGAGGTAAATTGCTGGGAGGCAGAGGCCAAAGGATGGTGGCCGGTGGGTGGGCAGGGCTACATTCCGTGTATAAGATGCACCCAAATTTTCACCCTCTTAGGTGGGGGAAGATGCATCTTATACTCTTAAAAATGTGAGTCAATTCAACAGAAAAATAGATAAACCTCAATTCTGGCAAGGCAGTCTTTGTCGCACGAAACACACAAGAAGCAAACTTTCTAGAAATGCAAACAGTTGTCTGTGACAACCAAACCACTCCCCTTTCCTCCTGTTTATTCCCCAGGCAGGGAGGGGCCAGTCAGCGTCCATGTTTGTTTTGCTTCCCGAGATGGCTCATTGTCCTCCATTGTTCTCCTCTCCTATCTGATCTGCGCATATGTGTATCTGGAACAGGCCCCAGCTGTTCCTCCTCACTCATCTCAGCCTCCAAAGACAGCTGCCTCTCCGGTGCCTGGGAAATGCCGGACGGTCCAGGCTCTACCTCTGTGTCCAACTCTGAGCATCCCCCAGAGCCTTCCCCAAACTCCAGAACTGGCCTAAGTTCTTCCCCAACCACCTCCTTGTCTGGGTCTGGCGGCCCACAACAGGTTGGTTAGAATCAACCAGCACAGAGGTGTCAAACTCATGGCCCGCGATAACAGGGAAAGTCGTGATATGTCATGTGACGACCCAAGTTTGACCCCCCTGAAATAGCACATTTAGGATGTGGTAGTCATGATTTTTATAGTTATTGGGGTGGTTTCCAGGTTACTCTTGGGATTTGTGATCACCTGTAGCATATTTGCTAATTCTATGTACCTTAAGAGGCCATCCTAATTGTGTTTCCCAGTTGACCTGTCCAGTGTGCTTACTCCGGAAATCATGGCACCCATTCTGGCCAACACGGAAGTCCAAGAACGTTTGCTGCCTTACCTTCCTTCGGGGGAATCTCTGCCGCAAACAGCAGAGGAGATTCAAAACACGCTCACCTCTCCACAGTTCCATCAGGTAACCATTTTAACGTCAACCGAAGAGCAGAGCTTGGTCCCAAGTTGAATAAGAAGGCCTTAAGGCCTCGTGCAGGCCGTCCTCAACTGTAATTGAGCCCAGAGTTAAAGCTGTCAGTCATTGCAGTTGTAAGTCAAAGCATCACGTATTCAGTGGGTTATTTTTTGTGACACAAATGCCACAAATCATTAAGCAAATCCATTTTTCCTCCCAAAGGTTTGGGTTTTTTTTTTCCGGAAACCGACCCAAAATGTTGCAAATCTTGGTTATGTGACTTTCAGGTGCTGCAATGATGAGCTGGTTGTCAAGCACTGATTATGTGACTGCTGAAGGGGCCAGGCGAATGTGGTTAGCTTGAGTCATAAGTAGCTCTGGGGAGATCCATTGTAACGTTGAGCTGTCACTAAGTGAGACGTCAAAAGCTACCTCTAGGAACTGGTCTACAGCAGGGGTCTCCAACCTTGGCAACTTTAAGACTTGTAGACTTCAACTCCCAGAGTTCCTCAGCCAACAAAGTCTTAAAGTTGCCAAGGTTCGAGACCCCTGGCCTACAGGGTCAGATTAGGGAAAGGTGATGTGGGGGATGAGAGACCGTTCATTCAGAAATTTAAGTGTTATTTTGACCAGTATAGCGTTGCTGGTATTTTGAACTTTTTGATTGTATGCAACTATTTGGGGGCTGTGTTGCTTTACTCATTACTGATTTACAGTAATTCTGATTTACTTTACCCCAGCACTGCTTAGCTACCAATCCACAGGACTGGTGAGAATTCAACTAAAGAATTATAGTTGTCACGCTACCACCCTGGTGGATAGTTTACAACGAAGCTCGTAGCACTATCTAATTTTTTTAGCTCCAATTGAAATACCAAGAAATTATAAGGCAGAGCATTGAAATTAGAGCATTGTATTCTAGGATAGAAAGAAAATGTGATGAATGAAGCCTGACCTTGGTTAGATTGTATCACAGGCACATGAGAAGGATCCCTCATCTGTTGTCATGTAGCCAATGGGAGCTGGATTTTTGATTTCTCCTAATCACTAAATCTTTTCGGAACAAGGATCGTCTGTAGTCTGCCTCTTTGAAGATAGAAGAAGCTTGATTTTCTCAGAATCTAAGAATCTCTTACAGTCTAGCTGAGCTGGTCTTTTTTCATTTTGCAGGCGTTGAGCATGTTCAGTGCTGCCTTGGCTTCTGGGCAGCTGGGACCCCTGATGAGCCAATTTGGCTTACCAGCCGAGGCCATAGACGCAGCAAATAAAGGCGGTAAGTTCATTTGCCCAGCTAACTGGGAGCTGCTGAATCATGAATGGAAATCTTTCTAAGGATGAAGTAATATATCGTGAGATTTGAATTCTGTGTCAGCGTTCCAAATGTCATCCAAAATTAAATCAGAGTTCAAGGCAGAGCTTTCCTCAAGGTTCCAATTTATTAAGAGAGACATGTTGGCACATCTGTGGAAAACCCAAATCTGAAAGCTTCCTGGGTTTTCTATCCAGTTCAAAGTTCATGATCTTGCCCCCACACCCACAAGTCCATCACATGGTCCAATCTTCCTCTGCCATGCTGGCATTTCCACCCATCTAGTTCCGGACAGGTGCAGAGGTGCAGAGACAAAGAATGACCTTGGGCTTCTAGGAAAGAATGTTTTATTTTGATAACAACATTCTACTCCTTACT